TGAAAACACATAGACTATGTGAAATAATAGTCCAAGAAAGAATTAAAGTGATCTGTATTAATCCGTTTCCTATTGCCATCTATTCAAGGAACTGATTTTTTATTGGCTTCTATAATACATACTTACAGAAACATAAATTCCTTTTTCTTTTCTATCTATTTGTTTTTTTCTTTCTCTAGTCACGTCAAATCATTTACATTAAATTTGTGAATAAGAAAATTTTTGTTTACTTTTTACTGACGTTTTTGTTTTAAATATTCATAATGAGTACTGATAATACAATATCTCCTTCAACTCTTTCTGGTATTCATCATCGTAATGTTGAAAATGAAAATAATATCGATACACCTCAATTATCAAAATCATCTACAGCAGGTCCTGGAGCACCAACAACAGAAGATGATGATATGGAACCATTACCATCACAACCAAGTGGTGCACATATGATCGTTGAAGAATCAACAATACAAACATTCATGCAATATTTTGATCGATTATTAATTGGTTTAAATCCACGTTGGCGTAATTGGATTATACGAGGCATATTTTCATGGGTTATGATACTTGGTTTTGCTAAATTAGTATTAATGGGACCGCTTGTTATTTCGCTAGTTGTATTACTTATACAAATAAAATGCTTTCAAGAAATTATTAATATTGGTTATACTGTTTATAAATCACATAATTTACCATGGTTTCGTACATTATCATGGTATTTTTTATTTACATCAAATTATTGGCTTTATGGTGAAAGTTTAATAAATCATTTTGGTTTTATGATGAATAAAAATAATTTTCTTCAACCACTCGTAACATATCATCGTATGATTGCATTTCTATTATATACAAGTGGTTTCGTTGGATTTGTATTAAGTTTAAAAAAGACTTATTATCTTAAACAATTTACTTTATTTGGATATACACATATAACATTAATGATTTTGGTTACATCAAGTCATCAAATGATACAAAATATTTGTCAAGGTAAAAACTTATTACTTGAATTGTTTATTATTCTTAAGTGAGAATAAGACATTTAATCTACCAGTGCCCTAGGTTTTATCAATATATATGCTTTGATTGTGTAAATTATCTGTTTGACCTTGAAAATTATCTATATCGATTAATTGATATCTGATTAATGAATTAAAGACACTGTCTAAAAAGCATGATTAATCATAAATATCAAAGTTCACATGCCACGAAATACATTATCATTAATGTTGGTTTAAACCGCGAGACATATTTATAGAGAGCGAGAGAACCTGTGAATTTCCTGATGAAATAATCAGTTGCAAAGTATTTGTCATGTTAATTCCGTAGGGATTTTTCTGATTCTTCGTTTTTACTATAATTGCATTCTAACATAGATCGACTAAAAGTATTCATAATACGTATCTAACAAGATATCTATTCTTAATTTTGTTCAAAATTTGTAAAAACAAAAATGACAAAAACTAAATACTTTTTTGTAAAATTTTTCAATTAATAGGTATGATCTGGTTTCTTTTTCCTGTTTCATTAATTATTTGTAATGATATAATGGCATATATGTTTGGTTTTTTCTATGGTCGTACACCCTTAACAAAATTATCACCAAAAAAAACTTGGGAAGGTTTTATTGGCGGTGGTGTATCAACATTAGTATTTGGCTTTATTTTAGCTGGCATATTAAGTCATTATCAATTTCTTGTATGTCCATTAGAATATGATGATGAAACAACGAGTTTAGCAACATTATGTACACCATTACCATTATTTCAAAAAACAATTTATACAATGCCAAAACCTTTTTCACTCCTTAAACGTACATTAGAACTTTATCCATTTCAACTACATTCATTAGTATTATCATTATTTGCTTCGAGTATTGGACCATTTGGAGGATTTTTTGCAAGTGGATTTAAACGAGCTTTTCGTATTAAAGATTTTGCAGCGACAATACCCGGTCATGGAGGATTTGTGGTATGATTAAAATGATTTGTTCATAAAAAGAAAAAAAAGGCTTTGTTGTTTTTTTCTATATATATATAGGATCGATTTGATTGCCAAATAATAATGGCTTTATTTACAAATGTTTATATATCAACATTTGCACGTGTTGCTTCACCAAATAAACTCTTACAACAAGTATTAGCTTTAACACCTGAAAATCGTGAAGAATTTCTTCGGTTACTTCGTAATCATTTCAAAGAATAACACACAAATTGACATTTTTTTTTATCTGTGTCTTTGATGTTGTTTGTAGGATCTGTTTAAATAGTCTGATTAATTTAACGTTGTTTTGTGCATTTAACAAAATTCACAGTATTTTTTCTTATGGGTGTATGTAAAAACACAAAAATGACAAACACTGTAAACCTGCTTCTTTTTGCCCCTTCTTTTAATAGATGTTATCAATAAAGGATATACTTTTATGCATCAATATCTATTTTATTGTTGTTGATATTTCAATGATATGTATACCTGGCAGACACCATATAATATGAGATAATATATCTATAGGCGCATATCGATAATATACGTACTTGTCAAAAACAAAATCATGTATTTGTTTTAAATCATAAGACAATTGGTGAGTAAATTCGAACGTTGAGAAGATGCTGAATAGACAACATTAATATGAGAAGTTTGATTTGAAATATAGTCAATAAAACGTTTTTTTAATAAAATAAATACTCTTGTAGGTACAAGTGCCAATAAACGAAATTAGACCTAATAAAATTTATTCCACAAACAATGTTTTACTAGTTATCACATATATTAATAGTGACATCATATAGAGCATAAGTAATTAAAGGTTTTAAGGAAAATGAAATCATCAATGTTGATTTTGTCTTACATGGATAACTATTATTTAACTATTCATTTTTTTTTAATGATTAACTCGACTGTAGTAACGATAGAAATAATAGTTGAATTAGATCGAGAGATGTATGAATAATAATCCCATATTTAGGATGATTCTGTAAATAATAATCATATATAGTTGTTTGATCGAAATTAATTTTCAAGAAATATTCGATGAGAACGTCTCTTATTTTTATCATTTGAAATTTGTTTAAAATGTATCATTTTTTTTTCATTGGACTATGATGACTAATTATATTATATGTAATATTAATTATAAAATTTTTGATTCAATATAATAATATCTCTTATATGATTTATAAATAATTGAATTTTTTTTTTCTTCATCTAATATATTGAAATTTCTATTTTTACTATTTAATTGTTAATGTATAATTAAATAAAATATAAAAAATCAAATCAGAACACGATTTGAACGAAATGATCGATTTCAGATTTTATACATTGATTTCCAGTAATTTAATTTAACATATGATTGATTTTTGCAGTGTCATAGAGAAGTTTATAAATATTTACAGATAAAATGAGACTCGTTATTGCTATGTTTCTTTTCTATTATGTAGGTCCATCAACGATTATAAAATACCCAACATACGTATGTTGGACAAGATGAGTTATTTTCAATTCGAAAAGAATTCATACATGTATAGTCAATTAAATATTGTAGACCTTTTTTTTTGTAAGTATTTGCTCAAGGCTATGGATGCAAGCAATTTATTTTTCTTTTTTCTTTCATACATTGAATTACTTGCCTCGTATGCTGTAAAAAAAAGAGACTAGACTGACCACATCTATGATAAGAAAGACAGCATCTTTCTCTTTATTCTGCTGCTTAGACTGGGTACCAGATTTTTCATTTCAGACTTTTGTTTTTTTGATCTATAATTCAGCAGAAATAATTGATATTTGTGTATTTCCATATAATCAAGATCTGAGTATTTGACATATAATACAATGCTGCCAAATATGTCCAACTTGTCAAGAACGTATTATGTTTCCACAGTTGGCAAAATATTAAACAATATGTCAATCACAGCTAACATAATAAATTTGTTTAAAATCCATGCCAATATTTTTCTTTCCATTTCATCAGTAATAGAAATTTACATATAAACTTACTTATTTTATGACCAAGATCAGTGTGAGAGAAAATTTTTATTGAAATAATTTAATTAAAAAACGAACTCGGCCATTGTTTTATCAAGCTGTCTCTTCTAGATGACAGGATGGATTAACATATTCAAGATAAAAAAAAACCAATAGAATATTGTTCTTTTTCGTTCTTCCAATTCCCTTGAAAAGCTTAAGGGTATACTTCTTTTCTCGTCCTCGAAAGTCTTTTATTTTTTTCGATGTTCAGTTTTATTTTTAGCTCGAAAAAAAACTTTTAAGTACCCTCTTTCAATAGTCGCACCAGCGAAAATTTTCTATAGTTGTTTACATTCACACCCAATTATTTCATGACCAAAACATATATTCTCTTATCAGGAAAACATAAAAATTCGAAAAAAAAAGGCATTTTTTTTCAAAATCAACTTTCGAAGTGAGAAATCGAAGTTTTTTTTTTTTTGATGGCAGATGTAAGTTTTTTTTGTTTGATAACAATATTGTATCAATGAATTATGGCAGATTTTACAATTCAGATTACTTCGAGTGTTTCGAAAAAGAAAATAACTTCGTCGTATTTGTCATATGAAGAAATTTCAGATCATTTTTAGTTCATGAATCTTCTACATCTCACAGAAGGAAGAAGTATCCGAGAATTTTCAAGCAATTTTTGCTCTACTCGTCGAGGTCTTTTCATCGAGTCGTTCATGAAAAACCCGGGAATGACGAGTGGTTGGTGCCGTTAAAAAAAGAACAACGTCTCATCTAATCTAGACATTTGATCTTCTACTCATGTAAATAAGAAAATCAGTTTCAGAGAATTGAATAACTATTGCTAAGAACTCATGCAATTAAATACTACTTGAACCACTTTTATATAATAAAACTCCGGATGTAGAATAGTTGAGCTGATACCATTAAATAACTTCATATATTTCCGAGAAAAAAATCTGAATATTTTTTTTTTGATACACAAAAAGGAAAAGGCAATGACTTCTCAAAAAAAAAAAAAATTACAAATATCATTTTTTATCAGCTATTCTTGATACCGAACAACAACTAATGAGTTGTTCATATGTTGAATCTATTGGATTATTTGATATATGAACGGTAGTGTCTAAAGGTTTAGGTGCTACTTGATTTTGTTCAAGTATTTTTTCCGTTAAAGTATAGAACATTCTTGATACATTTGCATTTGTATCGGATTTCGCACTTGTTTCAAAATAATCTACGTTATATTTAGCGGCTAATTTCTTTCCATCTTGTGATGATATAACAATAGTATGATGAAGATCGCTTTTATTTCCAACTAATATTCGCATGACATCATCAGGAGCATTTTCATCAATATTTTTCATCCAACGACTTACATTTTGAAATGAACTTGCTACTGTACGATCATAAACAAGGATTATAGCATCGGCATTACGCTAAAAGAAAAAAGAATATGTTTATTTTGATTTAAATCTAAATAAATTTATTTATCGTACGTAATAAGATCGAGTTATATTATAAAATTTTTCTTGACCAGCTGTATCCCAAAGTTGTAATCTAATTAGTTTGTCTCGGAACAAAATTGTTTTAACTTTAAAATCAATTCCAATTGTTGGCGTGAATGATTCAGTAAATGTATTATCTAATAAGAAAAATTAATATTAAAAATATCTGATAATTAAAATCTTTGTCATTTTTTCATTTTGACCTTCAGTTTATTTTTAGTATAAATGACAATCAAATAATATCAAGGGAAATTATTTTTAGTAGTAGACCTTGTGTTGTTAATCGTTTATTAATCTTTTTTACAGTTCTGTTTATCGAAATATTCAACACGATATAGAATCACTAGATTTTATTTACTATTCATTAGATTTCTCGGAGATTGGTTTCCTCAAAATGATCCAGCATAAAATATTAGACTTTATTTTACAACAACAAAGACTCGAATCGAATGTTTTCTTTTTCCTTTCTGTTTGAGAGTAAAACGTAAAGTATCGAGCAAATAAAACTAATTTAAATATTTATTCTTTCTATTTTCAAAGGCCGATTTGTTAATGTAAAAAAAAAAAAATTGTGAATAATATTACCATCAAATTATTATTCATACAATTTCTGAAATCGCTGATTTTTCGATATAGTGACGGATTTAGATTGAGCCGATGTGATCTCTAATTAGACTTGACAACACGTTTTGTGATTATGATCTCATCAATTTAACAAAATCCTCGATGCACCAGTGTTTAAAAAAAGTGAATAGAATTAATTTTGAAAAATAAATTTAGTATGTCACATATTATAAAAGTCCTTGATAATTTATATTTCTAACCGAAGTACAAAACATGATTTTCTATTAGTATACAAATGATTATTAAATTATTTGTCTTAGCCTAACTTTGTTATTATTATAAATAAAAGATAATTGATGTTGATGTGACTTTCCGCTAGTGAGAAATAACTTCTAACAGAGATTGGCACGTAACTCCAATGATTCTTACCATGTTCTCAATTAAATTCGGTTGAAATCATCTTAAGATATTTATCAATCAAACATCGATATTCAATTATATTCAAACGTTTAACCTCACATGCTCTCATAAAAAGCTTACTTCATCATAGATATGAAAAAACGTCAATAGACGAAAAAAAAAACTGATAAGAACATGTAGAGAACTCTGAGTTTTAACCTTAACCATTTTAAAAGTATGATTACACACGTTGAGCGACTTTTTTCAGTACCTACCTGCAAAACGAAACATTAAACTTGTCTTCCCAACTGCACTGTCACCAATAAATAAAATTTTATAAGGACGATTACATTTTGAATGCTGCATTGTCATGATAAAGTACCTAGAATCATCAAGAATATAGCTATATATGCATTTATGTTTGCCACATCATCTTAAAAAATGTGAATCATCTTTAATACAAAAAAAAATTATCCAAACGAATGACGTAGGTTTTTTTACTAATCATCTGACGGACAACATGGAAGGCGTTAAAGAGAACGAGAAATGACAAGAAGAGAAAAAAGAAACGACATGAGTTGCAACACATCGTATTGCTAGGCACTGGGTAGCTGGAAGGAATGAGAAGTCATGAAGAAATGAATAAAAAGCAATGAAGATTGTTTTGATTGTGTACATTTGTTTTTACTGACATACAAGCGAAAGACGGCTCCGACAAAATCTTGGTAACTACAAATCAATTTTCCATATGACTTAATCCATGTTCGGAAAATATTTTATGGCAAAATATGTCAGATATGAATTAAATAGACAAAATGAAATACGAATTTTATTAGAATAGATTTATTTTGATTACGAATTTCGTTTTCATTCTTGAAATAAAAGAAAAATACGATAATCGATATTTTTCATTTAATAATATTTGCATTGTATAGATGAAAGAAAAAACAATTGAAAAAAAAATTTTTGGTATTCGATAGACTTGGTTTGAAAAAAAAGGTTATATAAATATGTCAGAGAAATTTGAATACTATTTAAACGAAATAAAAACTGATTCCCGTTATCTGATAAAATAACAAAAAAACATTTTTCATCAAACCTTCAAACTTACAATTAATACTTGCACACTGGAATCACAAGCTGTTGAAATTTGTTAAGAATGTATTTAATTCACTAAAAAAAAAAAATCCCTGTTTATTATCAAACATCAAATAAATTCAAGATTTCATCCAACCAAAATCCATCTCTACTTGACGTTTATTGATTATATAGTGTATCAAACATCAAATCCACGTAGATAAGAATAAAAACTTCCCATTTATATATATATATTGAGTTAATATATGTGACTCACATGACTGGGACGGTCCCATCCCACGAGAAATCGTAGTTAGAACATTATGAGTCATAAAGAATATAAAAACTCTCTTTCTGATTCATTTTTAAAAAGAAATAATAAATTTCAATGCACACCAGTTGATATCTTAAGAAACGTGTCAGCACCTGTATTATGTTACAGAGTTTGTCAATGAAAATATTTATGTATTTAAATTTGTAATTCTTTAGAGAGTTTCCACATTCTCATATATGAATTTATTGGACATAATGCTCGACGACAGATTTAGAAAGGACATTGACGATGATTGCCTTTTCATTCCGAACCCAATTTTCAATTTGTCTCAGCAGAAAATGTCCATAAATGGGATGATACAACTTTTTATTTCTAGATCTGTCGCTGAGAACGCTATAAAGACATCTTTGAATTTCACTATCATTTCTCTTAATTTAATGTATTCCGCACGGACGGTTTGTGCTCTAACAGCAAGTATGATTCATGTTTTGGCGGTCGCGTCTTTATCATACAGAGTGTTACACTCTATGATTGAATGGAAATCAAACTCTGAAAACAATAAGAGAAGAAATTTAATCGTTGCCAGATTCTTTCTTTATGAAATACCGTTTGTTTTCAAATACTATTTTGATAGTCATTTCTTAAACTTATAGAATAAATCGTAAGCAGTATTGATTAAAAGTTATCGCGCTATCAAATGAATTTAACTCAAAGCTTAGTGAACTTTGACCGCAACGAACATAATATCTTTATTCGGCTTAAATCTAAATTTATGAAAATTTAATTGAAAAATAGGTTAAAATTGAAACGACCACATACTAAAAAATAAAACATTATTTTTTAAGAAATATTATACTTAGGGTATACCAAAAGTTTTGACCACGGCGTTTAAAGAATCTTTTCGGATATGGGAACTTATTGGCAAATGAAAAATCAAATATACCATGTTATAGAGGTTTTTGAGATTCATTCAATGGTATATTGTAAATCTTGTTTCCATAAGACTTTAAAGGAACTAGAGTAAATTTACTGATAGATGACTACACACCCACACCCAGAAATATGAGAAAAAAAATCTTCTGTTATCATTAGGCGTGATGCACATTTCTGCATAATATCTCGTTTTACCAAATTTTATTAAAAACCAAATGCTTTTAACAAAAAACAAATTTGAAAAACTTCAACAAATACTGAAGTTTTACTGTAAACATTTATTTAGTTCCACTTTCAATTAATTCTTTTGCTTCATTAATCTTAGCAGCAATGTACGGTGATCCACCTCGATCAGGATGATTGAGAATAATTAATCGTTTATAAGCATCTCGTATTCGTGTTTTACTCGTTGTTGGACTACAAAAAAAAAAAAGAGAAATCAGCAAATATAAATAAAAATATTCTATCTTGCGCTCATACCTAACACCTAATATAAGTGCAGCTTCACGTCGATTCATTTTTGCATCTATTAATAAACAACAATCAAATCTTGAAATAGTTATTTTTTGTCATTGTAACCTTACCAAAACCACCTTTGTAATATTTTGACTAGAAAATAAGAAAAAAAAAATCGTTTGATTTAGTAAACATCAAAATGATATTTACTGAAAGTCCTTCTGCAATAATACCACTTGTTTTCGTTAAATTTTCACTAATTAACTTTCCATATCGTGCAAGATAACGTCCTTAAGACAAATCCAATTTCAAAAAAAAAATTCTTAACTCAAATTTTCTCCTACCGGTATATCCAAGTACAGCTAAACTAAGACCAACAAGAACTGTTGTGCTCTATTAAACATAATTTTTTTAAAATTTCTATTCAATCTTCAAATAACACTCACCATATTATCTAGAATTAAAAAAGAAGACACATACATGAGATTACTCTTTTTTTTCCTCATTTCTATCTGACCACACAACAACAAATTTAAGAATATAACAACAACAAAAAAGAAAAAGAAAGAAAGATTAATAATATCCTCGTGGAGAAACGAATGTTAAAAAATCACCAAGAGGACCCATTTTTGTACGTAATAATTGAAATGTTATATTCCATGCTACAATGATAACTATCCAAATAAATGTACCAATTGCACTTCGAATAACATCTAAAGATATATATATATAATATAAAAAGATTTTGTTTCATTTTATTTACATCGACGAATTTGTGCTTGTTGAGGATATGGTTCAACTTTAAAAGCTTGTTTATAAAACCAAATAGCATTAATAAACCAAAGAAGTGGTAAAAAAGCAAAACCAGCTTTCAGGAAAAAGAAAGAAATTTAACATAAAAATCATTTTTTCAATAAAGTCTTATTCGTACCTCTATAATATTTACGACAAATATTTAATCGTTCGTCAGGAGACTTTTTTGATAATGAAACCATTGTTCGATCTGATGCAATGCTGTTTTTTTATGGAATACTATCGATTTCGTCAGCAATAGCTTTCTATATACTTTGACAAATCTTTGTCTTTCCGAAATTTGGATTGGTTATGTCGAAGTGTTGTTTTAGGGCGACCTCTCCCTGTTTGCATCATCATTGGATATAAGGATAATTCATGAAAGAAACAAACTTTTTATTGCTAAAAAGATATAAGTTCCAAACAGGCTAGACAAGTTCAAACTGAATTAAGAAATATGATTGATGTTACTCTATGTAAGAAGTATCAATCACATATTCGTGTAAACCAAAAGACTTCTATCAATTGCTTTTAGAATCGTTCAAAAATAGTCTTATCAATAGTATTTTGATTAATTTAGAAATATGACTTTATTTTCTCATAACAATTATTTATGACTATCCATCATTCCTATCTAATTATTCGCATTCATCAAAATATATGTACAAAAGCAACGTCACCAGTTCATAAAGAGTCATAGTCTAATTTCAACAAATATCCATAGATTTCGTATAAGTTTTGTATTGTTCAGTGATTATTTTTCATTTTATTTTATCAAAAATGAAAAGTTATTGAGCAACAGTGATAATAAATCTAGACTATGTGTTAAAATTCACAGATGAACATTAATTATTATCTTGAAACATATGTAATAAGTTTTAATATTCTTTCTGTTATCAGTTAATAAACTTATGAATGCTGAGTCAGGACTATACGCTTCATGTAGGTTCCAGTGAACTACGAATATCCTGAAACGAGCTTTCTCATTCGTATCTAAAGGTATAGCTATGGTAAAGACATGTCTTTTACATCGTTTATATACGTCGTTAGATTCGATTTTCTTATTTCAAAATAGAAACAAATCAAAAGAACGAACATTTTCATAACAAACTAATCTTCTTTAAGATCTATATCTCAACAGCAATAAGCTAACTACACAAGCTTGTTTCAGGTTATTCATAACTCATTAAGGTCTACATGATGCACATTGTTCTGATTCGAAAGCGATTTATCAGTTCGGTGATTTCTTTTGTGAAAAAAAAAAGTGAAGCCCTGTCGAAAACTTTGCAAAAAAAGAATTACATTATTTTGGATTTATTATTTTCTAATCTTCTCTATTTATATCAACAATAATATAAATATCTTGCAAATTTTTATAAATCTATACTCTTAAGAATTCATTAATAATTGATTGTGAAACACATTACAATAGTATAAATTATTATTTGCTGTAGGATATGTAACAGACTTTTATTAAAAACTGACATTTTCGAATATTTTATGTTAAATATATAATAGCAACAATAAATCATAAAGGAAATTTTTTGTAACCTTGCTACAAGTAATTTATGAGTTATAGACTAGGACATTATATGGCTGCCTAGTTTTAATTATTTGATAATCTGAATTAACTGATCTATATGAAAATATGAGGACAATATCAAATAGATAATAAAACATAATTTTCTATTATGTAAATAGATGTACAGCTGTTACGATATGACTCATGTAAATGTCTTTACAATGTGGCGTTCGAGAGTATAGAAGAGATCGACATCAAAAACAGAACATACAAGAAGCACGCCCGTGTGGCTCAGTGGCTAGAGCACTGGTCTAGTAAACCAGGGGTCGACAGTTCAATTCTGTCCTCGGGCATAAAAAAAAATTCCTTTTTCTTTTTTGTATTTTTTTTCCTTTATATTATTTTTTGCAACATATATTCACTGTTATCTTTTTTTGTGGTTTAATCTACACATCTTCCAAAGACATTGAATTATATAAAATAATAATTATTAATTAGCTTATTCTGTCTCTTACTCCATTGATAAATAAAACAGCAAAATACATTATAAAATAAAGCTCATATTGACATGATTGAATCATAACAAAAATTCTATTTTATTTACGACAGATGCTTTATAGTAAATAAATATGAAGTACCATTGGCAATTATGAACTCGGTTTTTCTACAAAAACTTGTCAAATTTTAATTGCTTCTTTTTCTAAATTTATAAAAGCATTTTATTCTGATTTAGCATCAAGAACTTAATTGATTAGATCTAGAGTTAAAACTAGACTGCTATTCAGCGCTACGCACTGGATGGAATGTCGGCTGACTGCAGGCTAGATATTTATTTTCTTTAAGTTGATAGTTCATTGCTTGGTAGCCATTCGAAAATTTTTGTCTGACGTTCGAGACCTCATGGCATACGATTTGAAATCGCATAAAGCGACAATTAATTAAAATATAGATGCATTTAACGTCTTACATATGAATGGTTGGTTCAAGATTGAATCATTCATCATCATATAAAGGAGCTATTAGCTTTTAATTATCGTGTTTCTGTATGTTTATTTCAATCGCTTAGTCGCCATTTGAAAAAATTCTCTACAAGTTTCAAACTTTATCATGAACGATTTTCTGTCACACAAGGCGATAATTAAAATATGTATGCACTTATCATCCTAGATGTGAATGGTCATCTAAGATTGAATCATGCATACCCATATAAGAAAATTATCAGGTGTTAATTATTGATTTTCGGAATTCCTATATCTTTTGAACGGTGCCGAATTTCGAAAAACGGATTTCAGATGTGCACTCGTCACATTCTCAGGGTCTCGCCACACTTTTTTCGACTGAATATGATAATCAGGAGATGAGAACGAGTGACTGGCTCGAATCCATAGCAAATTATCATGTCTCTATTTCTTACGTTTTCCAATAATATCTTTTGTTTAGAAAATAATTGACTGGTATAGGATATTCTAAAAGGTCAGAAATGATTTTCTTTTCTCGTATTTTATTTCGTGATTTATAAAATAAAACTAAAATATAAAAGATCGCTCGAATGATATTCCATTGAAATCTAATTTTTTTTTAATATTTATTTCATTCATATAATACAATTGATTCTGACGACGTTTTGCTAATGCTTTTGAACGTGCCGATTTCACCATTTCTTTTCAACACTTTTCGGGTCAAAAAAAAATTAGTTGTAATGTAACAAATGTATACAGTATTCTGGGTTTTTAATTATGCAATTGACAGTTATGCTCTTGGCAAATATGCTCTTGGCAGATATATTTTTTAGTCAATATAATATTTATTTAATATATGTTAATCTCTTTAAATTGATAGTTTCTAAATGGTCATATAATAGTAAAAATGTGTAATTTATGTTTCTTAACAAGGAAAATGGTAGGTTTTCTTTTGTATTATTTTTTTGTCTCTCCTCTGCATGAGCCATGATCAGATTTTCTTGAGGTCTCGAGACTTCTTCATGGATGAATTTAAGTCATACAAATACAAGACGATAATTAAAATGTATATGCACATAAGATCTGAGATATGAATGGTCTTTTAAGACTGAGTCATGTATAACCACATAAGGAAACTGTCAGCTGTTAATTATCATTTTTAGCCTTTCCATATCTCCCGAATGCAGCCGAATTTCGAAAAACAGATTTCAGATGTGCACTCATCACTTTATCAGGATCTCGCCAAGTTTTTTTTCGAGTGAAAATGATACTCAGGAGCTGAAAATGAGTGGCTGACTTGAATCGTGACTCATGTGTCGAGAAGAAGAATTTGCCATGGCAACTAAGCGAGTGAAAAGCAATAAGTCGGCTCTGCCTGCACTTCGTGCAGTCAGCCGACTTAACAATCTAGTTTTGTACAACAAGAGATAGAAGCAAGTGTCTTATCTAATTTGAATCATCAGATCGTCAGCTACAAAATAACTTATTTAATTTTTCTACATTCTATTTTATTGTTGAGAAAATTGAATATGTTTCTTATTTGGTGGTAGTATTAGGCAATAGAATGAAACAATGCGTTTGTATTTAGTAGCTTTTATTACCATGGTACAGTTAAAAAGGAAAATAGAGCGCCTATTCGGAATTAGCGTCACAAACAAAATAGAGCCACATATGTTTTGGTAAAACCTGTTTTCGATTAAAAATACATCTGTAGTGCCCCTCGGCTCTATTTTTCTGAGATTCAGCCTTCCAAAGGTCGGTTTTTCGTTTTATCTCTTGTTAGAAAAAATTAGAAAAGACTTCACAATAATACTTACAAATAGGTGCTAAGAGACACGTTGTAGCTATCTATATTGAAAAGGGTTATTTTAACATTATTAACTCGAATTCTAATCAAATAAGTTTTGGATGTTGAATCAGAATAAAAATTTTTGCATACAGTTAGAAAAAATGAAGTAATTCAAAATTAACAATTTCTTTAGAAAAACCCGGTTCATGATTGGCAGTGCTACATTTTCAGTCATTCGAGTTTTTTCTAGCCAAATAGTAGTCGAATTCATATAGATACTATATATTCCCAACAAGCTCGTCAAGCTCTATAAAACTAAATATAAATGAACGAGAGCAAAAATTCACTCGAATTTCGTTTTTTTTTCGTATCTGTAGTATACAGGAATACAAAAATGGATTACGATCTCATTTCATGTATAAGAAATCACAGTTCAATTATAAAACATGTTCAAGTATGTTTAATATAAATATAATTATAGGTCAGATCAAGCTTGAAAACAAATTCAATTTATTCTCGTTAATTCTTAATGCAGGGCGCCAATAATTAGTAAAATAAAAAACATTGTTGAACTGCGAAATAGTAGTAAGACGCATTGACTAAAAATGCCATTGATATTTTTTATGAATATTAAACGAAGAATGACTTAAGTTTAATAGAAATTTTCTTCCAAGTATCTCTTGAGACCATAAATTACATTAAGGTTCATAATAAAATACTGTGATAGAAAAGCCGATTTTAATAATGACGTCTACAAAATCCGAAGCGTTGACATAGCAGAAGTTCTAACTACGCAAACTAAACCAATATGGAATTATATTAGAATTGTTCCCACTGATACCGAGTGTTTCAAAAGTCATGATAACTTAATAAGTGTATATATGATGAGTTTTTCTTCGATATCTATTCGAATTTCAATCGTTATTACAGACTTCAGTTCATTCAAATCTATCTTTGTGAGTTTCTAAGCACTCGCTCTGATATAATCTTGAGAAAAGAAAGCAACAGAATCAATTCTAATAACAAGATGACTTATGAAACTAGCTAACATACTCGTTTTCAAAGAATTATAAACGATCTGCTTTGAAGAAATGCACCAATTATTTGATCGTTTTCTAACATATCGAAAAATGATTTTAAGATAATAATGAAAGATCTAAAGACGGTAATAACGATTGAAATTCGAATAGATATCGAAGAAAAACTCATCATATTGTTTACGGCAACGAAAAAAGTCTAACATTTGTATCACAGCCACAAGTGCTACCTTGTCTTACAGTATTATTGAACTTGGTCTTTAAAAATAAAAACTTACTAGTCTCCTCTTTCAAATAAAAAGAAAGGTTTGGATTAAACTTGATTAGTAGTGGAGTTATACGCACTTATTAAGTGATCATGACTTTTGGGACACCCGGTATTTGACAGAAATCATCGATTAACTAGTGTCGGCGCCAAAATATAAGGCGGGTGGTTGTTTCATGAATAACTTTTGATAGGAAAGAGATAGAGACTTGCGGTTTTCAACGTTCGATAGCCAAGACCCAGAGTCATCTTTTTTCAAGCAAAGTTTTTTCTGAGGCGGACCTTCAAAATGGGGTTTTCAGGGGATCTCTGAAAAATCACGCTGAATTTCCGAAAATTACCATGTTAACCTGTTGATATTTTTACATATTTGTAATCAGCATCAAAAGACGAATCGATCCATATAGGTTTCGAAAATTTTCGAGAGCATTTTTTTTCGTCGATTTCTGGAGCCCAAGGGGTGCCTCATGAACTGAAATGGATCAAAAATCAGTTGAAAAGTTTAAAACAACTCTAAAGTACGTAACATGACGTCGGAAAGCAAAATGGTGAATAATTAGACAATAAAAACGGTATTTTCACCGACTTCATTATTTGAGACACCTTGGACTCCAGAAATCGACGAAAAAAAAAATATCATCGAAAATTTTCGAAACCTATATGGATCGACTCGTATTTTGATGCTGATTACGAATATGTAAAAATATCAACAGGTTTACATGGCAATTTTCGGAAATTCAGCGTGGTTATTCAGAGATCCTCTGAAAACCTCATTTTGAAGGTCCGCCTCAGAAAAAACTTTGCTTGAAAAAAGATGTCTCTGGGTCTCGGCTATCGAACGTTGAAAACCGCAAGTCTTTATCTCTTTCCTATCAAAATTTATTCATGAAACAACCACCCGTCTTATATTTTGGGGCCGACAATAGTTCGCATTAATTCAATATGAGATTATATCTTACATCTAATTCGAACAAAAGAAAATTTACGTAGTTCACTTTAGATTCGTTTTTTTCATAATCAAAGTAAGATTTGTTAAATAATAAAATTAAATAAAAACTTCATTTGGTATTAGTCCTATGCTTATGTTTACAAGTTCATTAAATCGTCTAATTTGACCAACAAATTCTAATTGATAAGATCTAAGAAGTGAGTAATTTTTAGAGAAACATATGATTCTACACGAACCAATTAGATTACACAGAACGTTTTAAAAATAGTGCTATAGACTAATTTCATGCAGAATATCTTATTCAATCATTAATTTATGACCTCTGATTTTTCAAGACTTGATGGCACATAAACTTATGACAATTAGGTTTGATGTTACATTTAATGTATGTATTATTTTTTTAAGTTTTAATTTAAAAAGATCAACATTTTTTATGTACCTTTTTTTTAATATAAAAAGCTTTTCTCGTGAATCTTTCCTTTCCAAATTTTGTAATATACGTCAATTTTATTGAGAAGTTATTAATCATTAGAATCTTATTTTAAGCTAGTACATATTTTCCTATAGCATAAAAACTTTATCTCAAATGGCCTCAACACTCTATTGTATAATTATACTTAAATGTCGGACATGTTGTCATTAAAAGAATCTCGTTCATTCTAACCAGTGCATTGTAATAATAAATTAAGTGCTTTCATGTATATAAGTGGTCTGATAAAGTTAAACACACGTTTTCTTTCGATGTTTTCTTGAAAGACGAAGTAAATGACATATTTTGAGCACAATAGAAAGTTAGAATCAAGATGTACACAAACCACTTATCCTTGTTGTGATTAATTATAGTATGAAGAAAAAGAAGAGGTTTCAATTTTTCTATAGCACACAAAAACTTAAGACACTTAGTATTTTGTTGAATAAATCGATATTGAAAAATAGAGATAATTTTCAAAAATTATTATATAGTTATAATAATTTAATATTATTAATCAATAACTAGACAAATATTTTGTTATACATTTTGATCTTTAAGTATGCCGTTAGAAAGAGCGTTGAAAACTAAATAACACTATGTATCTTTGTATTGCAATAATTCTTTATAACAAGGCTATTTTAAAACACTAATGAAAATTTAATCAATACTCTATGAACAATTTAGAAACGTGAGCTATAACCAAAGATGAGAACTTTAAAAGAATAGTGCGCTTTTTTAGAACAGACTTCGTTTTATCAGATGAGATACATCAATCTGTGCAATATGTTCCTCATTAAATATAGCACTATGAAAATATTATGATATGAAGCAAGCGAAAAATAGTTTACAATCATTGTTGATATTGGTAATCAAGGATAAAAGGGATATATCAGATCACAGGCAAATTGTATAGAAGAGCACAAAATCTCATTTAATAAAACAAAGTCTACTCTACTAAATGCACTATTTTTTTAAAGTTCTCAAGTCTATGCTTAGTGCTCACTTTTTGTAATTATTAATAAGGCATTATGTAAATCTTGATTAATGTTTAGAAAAACTCTGTCATCAACAGTTATTGCAGAACAAAAAGCGTAGTGCTATTCAATTTTCAATCCGCTATCTAATGAAAGAATACTTGAAGACCAAAAGTTATATTAAGAAAATCCATTTTCTAGATATTAATTTTTGAATAGGCGTTTTGTGTAGCCATTGACTTTAACTCCATATTACACGGAAAAAAATATCATTTCCTTTCTTTTCAAAGAAAACATGGAAGTAAAACAACCTCTTAAACTTTTTCGCCCCACTTCATATAATAGATCCATTATTTTTTGTATTCAAACACGTAATTGTCGAGATTCATGACAATTAATATGCATCACTGCAAAATTCAAAAATTTATACTAATTCTATCCTAGAAAGAGAAAGCTAGAAGCTGATTGCTAACAATTATAACGTTTTATCTAACAGGAATTCATCATATTTTTAGTACGTCATAATGAATTCTGATTCAACAGTGAATTTTCTCGCCTATTTTGGTGATAAAATTAATTTTTATTTTCCAATTATCATTATTACTTTTGGAACTATTGGATGTTTCTGCAGTTTTATTACTTTTACTTCTCGTAAGTTAAGAAAAACTTCATGTTCACTTTATTTTATTGGTGAAGCTCTATTTGATCTTGTTACACTTGATTTTGGAACAGTAACACGATTTCTTTATGATAATTATGGATATGACGTACAGATTCAATCAGAAATTTTTTGCAAACTACGAATGTATATTGCTAATGCTTCACCTGCAATTGCTACATGTTTTATTGTCCTAGCAGCAATGGATCGTTTTATGTCAACTTCATCAAAACCTGTTTATCGCTCATTTGCTACAATAAAGCGTGCTAAATGTATAGCTGCTTTTTCTCTAAGCATTTGTTTATTGTCATATCTACATTATATGATTTTTGCTGACTTGAAACCTATGTGTATTTTACAAAAAGGTGCATATAGTGTCTTTACAATAGTATTTAGTATAATATGGACATCATTTATTCCACATTTTCTTATGCTTTGCTTTGGATTTGGTACACAATATCATCTTCGTATGACACGACGTCGAGTTCTTCCCATCAATAGTCAACAAAGACGATTGCAACGTATAGAAACACAACTTATTACAGTAAATTGATTTCTATCTTGTTCAGTTGATATATATGCTTGTATTTAACTTTATAGATGACACTATTTCAAGTTAGTCTATCATCTTTATTAATTTTAACTCGAATGTCTTATTATTCATACAATGTAATTGCAAGTGGTACAGATAGAACAGCTTATGAAGAAGCATTGGATAAATTTTTCGCTAAATTAACAACACAATTCTTCTATTTAAATTATGCTAAATCATTTTATGTTTATATATTATGTAGCAAATATTTTCGAACACTATTCATGGAAAGAATCAAAAAAATTTATCGTCGATTAATTCCTTGTAGAACGAATAATACAGATAGACGTCAACGAAATTCAAATGCATATATTAATAGAAGTTTACAAGCAAGACATGTACAAAGAAACGCTTGAAAATAATGATTGTAATGAATTGAATAATGACATTTTCATTTCCTTTTTTCAACTTAGCGGAATTTTACATTAGATATAAAGAATATAAAGAGTCATGTAAGAATAATATCTAAATATTAAATATAATTATCTATAACGATGAAGTAAGATTGTTTATTCATAAAAACAAGAATTGAGAACAAAATATCGTTGCTTTATGTTTCATACAAAAGGTTTTTCATACTTCGTTTAAGAACACTGAATACATCTTTTGCCTATGCTTTATTCCAAATTAAAAAAGAACGTGCCAATGATCATTGTGACATCTTCATTTCTCACTTTTATAAGATGTTAATAAGATTACAAAATGTTCAATTCCATCGATTTCCGTGATTTTTAATTAAAAGACTTTTTCGGAAAACCAAAATGATTTTCACGACTTGAAAAAATACTTTTAGGGCTTTAAAACTTTAGAAATAGTGCTGACTTCTATCTTTGGAGAATTTCTAGTAAAACCCCTGAAAACTATACATACTATATGTTAATATACTAATTGAGGTTCCAACCTTTTGAGAAATTAATTAAATGAGGAGGGCCCTCTATTACATTCGGTGCATTCTTTTTTCAAAGGCGGTCTTCTATTATGGTGAAGTCTCTTATTGCAGGAAGGGGATGGAGTGTGATTACACAACTGTCACTAATGTTCTGTTTTGATACTTATTATGTACGCGCGTTTGTTTTTCTCTATAACTTCCATCCTTTTCTTGTTGCCCGCTCTTTATATTTTAATGTTGATATGTTTTCGTTTTTCATTAACTACATTTAGACACATCGTCATTTACTTTAATTCTCCTTCTTCTTTCACGTTCTCTACTCTCATTCTCTTTGCTTGTTACCTTATCTTTCTTTCTCTCTCTCTGCTTATTAAATATATCATTGGATCTTCTTTCACATTCAATTCAGGTTTTTATTTATTGTTGTCATTTGCCATCATTATCATTATGGCATTTGGCATCTTCAATAGTTACGTCTCATACAGCATTTACGACGTAACAGCAGGGAGGAGATTTACTAAAACATGCATATTTAATACTCTTAATGAAGAACTCAAGACAATTATTGTTTCTTTAATGAGAAGCAATTGAGATATTAAAGAGAGTTCATGCTGGTGCGACTAACATTCTTCGCTCTTCTGAACTGTATTTCTTCCTTGTTAAGTGATTAAGTTGTTTATTATTATCTTTCTTACGTTAAATTCAACCAAACACTTATTTGCACAACCTATTTAAGCAATGATATTCAAACAAAAAGATTACAATCGTATCCACGCATTCCCACGCTTTTTCTCTTTTCATGTTTCTGGCAGATCACAGTCTAGTTGACTCTGTTTGCATGTATACTAATGACGTGTTGAATCATTGCACTTGGACTACAGGATCGCTATCATGTTATACAGCAGCTGAAAAAGTGAATCAGTCGCATGAAATAACATCATACCGATGCAAGACAACAATGTTATATAAGTTGTATTGTGAATTAACAACGACCTATCGTCATAGCACTCGCAGCTTAGATAGTCTTTATTTCTTTCAGCATCAACTTTAGTATGTGATCCAAATTGGCGGCATGCCACAGCACATCCAACACAATTTTTTTCTTTAGACTGCACAATGCATCAACAATGTAACGTTATCTGAATCAATTTCATTGCTGTCTACGCTTTTCTCCATCAGTACACAGCATGAGAAGAATAAAATGATGACAATTCGAAAATCTAGATCTTCGATGACGTCAAATACCATTATTATTTCGCAAGTACAATCATTCTGCTGTTGTCTTTCTCAGTGTATCATTAGCAATGGTGGGCCAAAAATTATTCGAATACTATCTATTTGAATTTTATTAGTGTAGTTTTTCTATTTAGTAGAAAACATATTTACCCAACTCACTACATTAAGATTTATAAGTTTTTCTTTTACAAAAGAGGATCAGCAAGAAATTGTGAGATTGTTTTCTTTTCTTCATTAGTAGATAATAATTCTATAATTAAAAATTTTATTCATTTTGTCATAAGTGAGGTTTCAAAAAACAAAGATTTTTAACAATGAAACATTTTAATAAGGTTTTAAAGATAATGTCATTGATTTGTTCTGATTGATAGATATGATAAGTTTTATATTGTTTATGAATTAAACTATCTCAAAATGCAAAATGATCTTCACTGATAAAAGTTTATATGCACCTAATAAACCAACGAACTGTATCTCATCTGCTTATTCTTATATGACTTATCAACAACATAATTCGACATAATACGAATCATTTCTAAAACAAAACACTGAGAACAGATTAGTTATCACAATTATTTTTTCAACAAATATCTATCTTGTTGATATTCGACATTAATACTTAGATCTAACCAAAACGTTCTGGCAACGTTACTAGCAATTTTATCAAGCAGATAACATTTAAGAATCTTTTACATGAATAAACACTAGAATGTCTTGCTTTCAATGATATATATAATAAATCTATTTTGGTTTTTGTTTTAATATTTCTTCAGATAAAATTCAATACCAACAAAACAGTTTTTTTTTAATGGATAATGAATTTTATCGATATTACATTAAATTTCAGATTATTTTGGTAATTGATGCAAAGACAATTCATAAAAAAAACTTGCAACAGCAGTGCGACCTAACGCCTCATGATACCGAACACGAATTGTCAATGATGAATCTCGGTTTGGCCGTCCGATTTCCATTCTGACTAATCTAAATATCGTATTATTATGAAAGTTTATCGACAATGATTCACACTTAACTTATGATGACATTATAGTTGAGATTTCTCTTTCTTACGATACAATAGAATGAATTATCCACGGTTGTCTAAAGATGAAAAAAGTTACATAGCATTGAGTGTCTCATCAATTCAACGGTGAACAAAATAAAGAATGAATTAGAATTTGTGAAAATTTCGTGATGAAACATGGTAATTATGCAATATTAATACAGATGAGGAGGAGACACGAATTTATCATAGGCAGGTTGAGCTCAAGTCAACTAACGCAAGTTGGATTAGTGGAATAAATCACAGATGATTATTGTTCGCCAAAGTAGATTCTAACCAAAAACTTTGTTTTCTATATTCTTTAAATCAAATAGTTCTGTTCTTATACAGAGCGTAGATAAAGACAATACTATAAATTACAACTATTATATTGAACATTGTCTCAATTGTGTTATCAATGAAATGTCGAAACAAAGAAAGTCATCAAGTGCAGAAAGTATAAAATTACTTCATAACAATGCTCGACCTGATAGTCATCTAGATGTTATTAGTTGTTTGACACAAGCAGGTATCAATTTAATACTGTATCCATTATTTCCACAAGATCTTACACTATGTAATTTTCGCCTAAATGATTATATCAAGTGTAATTCAACTAATCAAGCAATTGAAAGCTCATTGATTTGTGTGATTCCAAAGATAGTTTAAAATATTCCAGAATAAGAGTTCAGAAAAACATATGACGAATTGTTAGAAAAAAAAATGGAACTTTGTATAAATAATAATGACAACAATTTTGAACATTTAATAAAATTCAATTAAAAGTATCTGTTTACTTTTATGTTTTTATTTAATTTTGTCAGAACTATTAGCAACTATAAGTAAGAGGCATTAAAGACGTAATACAAGTCTTGATTCAACTATCACCATTGACCAATGTCATTGTTTCTTGGTATTGTTTTTCTGCTCAATAAATCCATCGTAATTTATTGATGTAGGTTGCATTTACTTTTAGCTTTGCTTTTGTTAAAAGTCTGTTCTAATTATTTTATAAAGTGACATTTCTTTCTTTTATCTTCATAAGCTTTTTCTTTGATGCATATGAAGCATTATCCTACAGAATTAGAATAAAAATAAATAAAACAAGAATCATATCAAGGCACATTGTAATATATAACAACTTCAACATTTCATTATATTTCAATATTCTTTAAGATTCTGACTTATGAATGTCAGTGCTGAATAATTTAATCGCAATTTCTGATTACATTCTATTGGTAATCAAAAAGAAATCGAGTAACACAAACATTGTGACGTATTTGAAATAATCCAATAAGCCAAAGCTTATTTTTCCTCAATTTTAGTAATTCTGTTAATAATAAAAAAATATATATATGCAATGTAATGCAATGAGCTGAACGTCATATTTTGTCGAGTCGAGGTGAGTAGTTGAAAATGTAATAAGACTTGCTCTAAACATAGGCTATCTGAAAAGGACAAAGAGCATCAAAGAAAAAAAAGTCTCATATAAATGTTAGTTATTGAATATAGATTATCTGCAAACAGTTAGTAGCGCCAGTGACTATAATGTAGTAAATAACTAAAACAAATCTTTAATTTTTACATTGATCTGTTATTTGTTCTGTATTCTAATTCATGGTTAAGATTCAATCGAAGGAACTATTCATTATTGATTTTCTAAGTAAGATTTAGTTCATCCGTTTATTGACATTTATGTTCGTTTAAATCATCTAAATATATATATATATATACTCATGTACAATTCATCTTCACTAAGTAGGCTTTTTGTATAGAGATAAAAAACACAATATGCATGTCAATAAAACTGTCATTTCTTCTTACAATTGTAGTTATTATTAAACTTCAAATGAAATCACTATATTCATAGATTTACGGCAATGAAGTCACAACCAGATTTTCATCAACTTATAAATCTTAGTGATAAAATTAATTTTTATTGTCCAATTATCATTATTACTTTTGGAACTATTGGATGTTTCTGCAGTTTTATTACTTTTACTTCTCGTAAGTTAAGAAAAACTTCATGTTCACTTTATTTTATTGGTGAAGCTCTATTTGATCTTGTTACACTTGATTTCGGAACAGTAACACGATTTCTTTATGATAATTATGGATATGACGTACAGATTCAATCAGAATTTTTTTGCAAACTACGAATGTATATTGCTAATGCTTCACCTGCAATTGCTACATGTTTTATTGTCCTAGCAGCAATGGATCGTTTTATGTCAACTNGATTTCTATCATAGAAATCAATTTGTTCCTCCTTAATTTATAATTTTAATTTCTGAATAATCAAGTCAAACTACGTCGTAACAGACTGAAAATCCAGCTGAATATAAACAACACATATTATTATTAATTTTCTATAAAGAAACAGCAATGAAAACACATAACAATCAATGAAGTTTTCTTTCTTCGTCAAAAAGAGAGATACTGCCTTGAAAATCTTTATCAGACAATACTGCTAAAATAACGTTTATACTATTCATTTCAAAATATAATGATCTCCGCTGTTTTTTCGAATAACTTTTCATGGGAAAATCATATAGATCTACAGTTTTCATTACTTAAGAGAGAAGACTCGGAGTTATCGAAGTATTTCGAATTTTCTTTTGTCAACAGCTGACGAATCATGTGAGTTCTTGATTGGAGATTTTCGAAGATGATATTCTAAAGTTATTTCACTTTCAATTAAGACTTTTGATAGGATTGATCGATAGAAAAAAAATCTTCTCTTTCGATCTACACAAGATCGATATTTATCAACTAAAATATATGAACACACTACATACAGAGTGTAAAAAAAGAACAAAGATTGTGTTGCAATTCATTAAAGAATTATTCAATGTTCAAATTTTAGCTCAAGATGGCAATGAAAAATTAAGAAATGTACGATTTGTTAGAAATTTATGAAGAATATTATTGAAATAAAAAAAAGAAGAAAGTAATTTTCAAGTTTTCATTCGCTAAGAACTTCATTGCGCAAAAATTGAAGAAAAAGGGTGTGAGTGTGGCATCGATGTGTGTATGAGTCAACAAACGGTCCACATCCTCATTTCCAACAAGAATTTTCAAAGATAAAAACGATTGTTGGTTTTCTATGGATAGAGTCTCTGAAAAGCCAAAGGCTAAGTCTTTCAGCTAGTGAAATTTGCAAATAGAATTCTATTTAAATTACCGAGAATGATAGAGCAAAAACTTGCGTACAAAATCTAATATCTTCTGACTATTTACAATTTTTTTTGAGCCGACATACATTAATCCTACAGACGGTACAAAATTAGATTTTCTGTTATTCCGCATGGAAACAGCATTTTTGCGCCTTTTGTAAGTTTGGTGTATCTTGAGTGTAGGTGTGAACCATTTGTTAACACACACTCACAACCATATTCAACGAATAATCTGCGATCATCATAAACTTAAAAAAATAGGGCTAGCTAGGTATCGTAACAGTTGAGCTTGACGGTGCTCACGAAAACAATATACGTATATATATAGTTATATCATGAATAGCTGATGCACGAATAGATAGTACAGTACAGAATTTATTGTAGAAGCGACAATTGTCTTTATTTAACAAAATTAGAGATGAACAGTATCGATCGAAATTATTATATTATTACACCCTCAAAAGAATGGTGATATATTATAGAAAATATAGAGCATTGGTTGGACCAGCAATATATACAGTAGATGTCAAAATTATTCAACTATGCCTTAGATAATTTTATATTCTGCTGTGTATATTTCAAAAACTAGATGAGATGAGCTGCAATCATTAGTTATAGTTGATGATACAAACACAGTGTGTCCTGTTTCATTCTTCCAAAAACATCCAATCGCTTATTTTTTTAAAATGTTGCATGCCTGTTTTAAGTTGAAAATTTTGTTATGATACATGATTCAATAGAACAGCTTGCGCTGTACGTAATTCCCATAACATTTAGCTATTTTTTTTTTGTTTCATATATTATCAGCAAGAGCACTGCAAGTTGCCTCAGCTATTCTACTTGAATAGATATTTCATATTGGAAAATTGTTCTAGCCATCTTCTATGTACACACCAATCACAAATAGTGGTTCTTGTATTGTCTTATTCGAGCATCGAAGATAGTTAAAGTTGTTTTAGCAGCGTAGATTTACAGGAAATCTTTTTTCGTACAAAACTCTTGTATTTGAAATCAAAGCAAATTTCATCACTGCAGTTATTTACCTCTGTTACACTATGAATAGCAACAGTAAAAAAAACTTACCGTACTCCTAGCAACATTCTAAGTACAGATTTCACTAAATATGTAGCAATATTTTTACACGTCATATCTTTGTAGATAGAGGATGAAATTTAGAACAACACGCTATGTTAAGTTTCACTTGATACGTCCTTGTTTGATGAGATACATATCCATTCTGTTGGGTGAGACTTCAATAAGCTAATTTTACTCCTGCTATTTATACTGTAACAAAGAAGAGGAGTGTAAGAGATATAATCAATTTTAATTTCAAGTATTAGAGTTTGGTACGGAAAAATATTCCCTACAAATCCACGATGTTAAAATAACTCTTATCTTCTTCGATGCGTGAATAAGACAGTGCAAAATCATGTATTTGCGTATCTTCTGACTTGTCGTTCACAAGATCATCACAACAGAAAATGATCAAGTTTGATGCATATATCTAGTAAATAAATAAAGAAAAAGAAAACTCGCAAGGAATCGCCTAAACTCAATGCGTAACGATCTCAATTTTTTCGGGTATTGGAAATTTCAATTAACATAAGAACGATAAACGATTTCACTTGGAGTCAATCCTGTCCTGTCGAAGACTTTCATTATCTCTTCTTCTCATAACAGCTGAGTAGAGATTAGCTGACCACTTTTATTTATCTTGGGTAAAAAGAAATGGAATTCAAATCACCGTTTTTGCGGAGCTTACTGAAGATGAATGACAACTTATATTGAAGATTCAAAAATGTCGGTATCACCTCAAGACTCATGAGCAATTACGCTATTTTCATATGGTTCTAAAGTACTTTTCAAGAGTATCACAATGGTATAAAAATGTCGAGGGAAAACAGTGTTCATTCTAAGAAATTCTAAAGACACTGTTCTCGGACAAAGTTTTTGAGTCCTTTTTTACTGGTATTCAGAATCAGTATTCCGAATCGAGTGGATTTTATTGTATTTCGAATATTTTCCAGAACTTTTATTTCTCATCGAAAAATTCACAACTCGTCCTTCTGAAGATTGGATCAACAAATGAATTTTATGAGAACGCTTTTCTTTTATTGTTTAGTCATTTGCTATTTAGAGCTCTACTATTGTTCCATAAATTTAGAACTTCCTGTCCACTGTCAAAATATCTTTTTGACGAAATTCATTTGTTAAGGTAATCCTGAGGAGATCAGGGTGAATATTCCGACAAAAAAGGGTTTCGGAAAATATTTGAGGTACGACTGAGTCCACTCAATTTGGGATAATGATTCAAAATATCAGTACAACAAACCACAAAATTTTCTCTTGAGAACAATGTCCTTGAAATTTCTTTGAGTCGTCAGTATGTTTTTTCTCAGTTTTTTTATACTATTTTGAGCCCCTCGAAAAGTAATATCAAGCCATATGAAAATAGTCAAGTTGCTCATAAAATTGATAGTGAAAAAGAGCTTATTATCAGTAATAGTAGGTTTCAATATGCATGTGATGATCAGTGACTATTTCAATCGACCTGTATACAGCATAAATAAGTATTATACGGCTGATTCTATCAATGCTCACTTTCAGACACTATGTGATAGTTTGACATAAATGAAATAGAATTTCTCGTAGAGGACAATTTCAACAGTTATTGACCTTCTTCTTTAATCAGTTATACATTTTCTTCCGAAGAAAATCTTTGTGAAAATCATTTCCTTCCATATCTTACATTAATAGATTTTTTAGTAGATGTAAGTTATCTGTGAAGATATGTTTATTGTTATCTATGCCATAGACAAACAAAACAGTTCGTAAATAAAAAGTCCAAAATGTGCTAAAAGAAATATATTCACGCAACGTTATCTTGTCTTTCGATGTATCTGTATTTAATGTTGTTTAGATATCAGTTAAATAAAGACAAGGTAAGACAAACAGTAATAAAAAAGAAGAAAAAAAGAAATGAGGAGTCTACCGCCTATTATTGGAATAAAATCAGATGGACCAGTAGGCACTTTTTGTAGTCGTATAAATCGTAGGCATCTAATTGGTGCTTCACTAATATTTCTTGGTCTACTGTCAACTGCACTTCTAATTACTGTGATTGTTCAAGCAAAAAATCGTGGCCAAAGCAATGAATACTGTATCAATCGAGGATGTCTTTCAGCATCAACACATCAATTAAGTTTTATGGATACTACAGCATTAGCTGACCGTTGCACAGACTTTTATAAATATGCATGTGGTGGTTGGCAACAAACTCATCCAATTCAATATTTTGATACTGAACGAACAATACTCAGTGATATCATTGTTCGACGTGATGCTGATATTGAACGTCTTCTTAATTCACCTATTTCCCGTGAATCTGAAAAAAGTTGGGAATATAAAGTTAAAGTTTGTATTTTATTATTTGTTTTAATAATAAAAGAACAAAAACGTTGATAATTATTTAGACTTATTATACAGAATGTATAGATGATTATGCACGTGTGCCGGATAGTGGTAAAGCAATGGTAGACTTAATCAGTGATCCTGATGCAGTCAATGGTTGGTTTCTTATTGATAATGGTGCTCCAAATGCTAGTCAAGACTCTTTACTAAAACCTCAAACTGTTTTTGAACAAATATCACGTATACATGGCAATTTTGGTAAAAATATTTACAAAATATTGATAAATAATTTTTTTTTCTTTAATGTTTTCTTTTAGGTGCAAATATTGTCTTTGGTTTACGTGTAAGATTTGATGATACAGATTCAAATATTAAACGACTTGAAGTATAACATTGGCAAGAAAATAATAAATTATATTTTGATTATTATATTATAGTTCTTTGCAGCTGGCTTAACATTGGAAATTAATGATTATCTTCGAAATGATTCAGTATCACAAACAGTAAGTTGAAGAAACTTTACGTCTATTCACCTAGATCAATAAAATACCTAATGATTTGAAAGTCTATTGAAAATGAAGTTAGAGTACAACTACTTGATAATCCTATTGAATAAAAAGAGTTATTTTTGAATAACAACATCTGTATTGATGTATTAAGAATCTTCATATAGTATTTTTATTGCTGAATACGAGAAAATTATTGTTAATATTAACCTTAACATAACCACTTTTAGAATTACCACTTCTTGTCCGCTGGAGGTTCTTGAAGACTTCACTTGATAAATATTTGAACTATATTTATCTAGTCTGTTATGAAACACGATTTAAAAGAAGAATAGGAGTATAGGAATACAACGTTGTTGATATACGATCAGAGACCGTATATCAATAACAACTCGTTATTATATATAAGCTACTGGCTTATTGCATTTCTGAATGATTAAGTAAAAGGATGACGAACAAATGCATCTCAGAGTACATAGAATTAATGAATCTTCGTATGATTAGCAATAGCAGCTTCATCATGTTTCACATTTTAATCTAGTACGGATTGTGCTAACAGCTTTGTTCATCATCTTATCATTCTCTATTTTCGAGATATTTGAAATCATACATCACTATCCAATATTCACATATACTTTGAACTGTTTCTACATAAGAATGAATGCATAATATAACATTGAATCTCATTTGGATCCAGACGAACTCCAAGTAATCAATAAACGTTCACATATATTTCGGGATGGTCCACTCACATAAATAGTAGTTGGGTATAACTGGCAGCAGATATTATCAGTATACTCTACTAGTCGTTACTAGAATATATCTAGAAGATGAGTGGTTACAGCTAATATTCTGTGCTTATGATAGTGTTCTAATTTATGCATTCTGAATTCTTCATATTGTTCACATTCAATGAGAAATAAGTTAGATAATTGTCATTATTAACAAACTATGTTGTATGCAAATTAATTTAGTAATTTTTATGTTTTAGCATCTTTCAGCTTATCGAAGATATATATCGAAAGTGTTAAGTTTACTGGTGAAAGATGCTGAAGTAAACGATGGAAATCTTTATGATCGTATTGATACTGTTGTGCAGGATATAATTCTTGTTGAACAAACTTTAGCCGAAGTACATTCATCAAATAGAAAAGAAATATTTAATTGGTTATTTTCAATAAAAATTTTCTAGGCTCATCAAAAAAGTTTAAATAATGGTGATAAAATAACATTAATGACTTTAAAACAAATGTCTGATCAATATAAAGTAATAGTTATAAAAATTCAAAATTAAGTATAAATTCAAATTTTTGTTTAGTTTGACTTTATTGAATTAATGGGAAGTGAACTAGGTGATCCGAGTGTTGTATCTGATATAACATTAGTTTACGTTACAAATCATATATATTTTAATGAAGCATTTGCATTCTTATCAAACAACAATGAGTATAAATACTTATATATCATTTTTCTATTTGTTTATTTTTCTTAATCAATTTATTTAAAATTTAGACCAAGATTTGCTCGAGCTATTCATAATTATATGCGATGGAGACTTGTTCAAACATATATTAATGATCTTTCATATGATTATATGCATGCATATCGAGTATTTCTTAATGAATATTATACTCATGTATTACATTCAACTAATGAAGCTTATTGTACACGTGAAGTTATACGAAGATTTCCACTTGCTATTCAACGTTTATATACAATGAATACAATAAAAAATTCAAATACAATAGAAACTGTATATGAATATTTTTTTTTCATCTAAATTTTATTTTATTTTATTTTAGGTTCAAAAAATTTTCGATGCATTAAAAACTGGATTAAAGAAATATATTAATGAACAAGCAACATGGATGACTGATGAAACAACAAAAACAATAGCAAGACAAAAAGTAGATGCACTTACAGCTGCTATTGGTTATGCTAGTATTGCTTCAAATGATACACGTCTGGATGATTATTATGACAGAGTATGTATTTAATTAAATGACATGATTTTTATTTGAGAAAAAAAAAACAAATATTTTAGTTTGCTGTTAGACCACGTTCTCACTTTGAAAATGCATATGGTTATCATCGATTTCATGCGTGGACTATATTAAATTCATTATTAGATCCTAGTCAACTTGATCATTGGGATCTTTTTGAAACACGAACAAGTCGACTTTTTGATTATATTGCAATATTTAATCGCCTTTTTGTTATTGCCAGTGCTATGAATGCACCACTTGTTAATACTGAATGGCCATGGCAAGTTTTTTTATTTTTATGGTTTTATCTATCTAAAGAAGTCAAGAGTAAAACTAAAATATACACTTATTTTAGTTTTAACCTTAACTTATTCATTGATATCAACAAACTAAAATAAGGATGATTCTTTTGTTAGATCTTTTCCTAGTATATCTTATTCTTGATCATCTCGGAATTTCTACAAGACTAAGTCTTTTCATAAATAGCAACTGCTGTTTCGGTTTATATCTTGACAAAATTATTTTACGACTTGTTTGCATGAAATCTAGAAAACCAACGTATGAGACAACAAAATCATGTTTTTTTTCCTCATTCACAGGGCAGTAAATATGGGTTCATTAGGTGTTCTACTTGCTCAAAAACTCTTTGGTAGTATCGATGGGCCAGAAGGTAAATAATGTGATTTAATCTGACTCATAACAATAAAATATTTTATCGAATTTAGGTCGTGTACATGCAGCTAATGGAACACGAATACCTGATTGGTGGTCAACATCAACAGACAATGCATATAATATAAGCCGTCAATGTATAACTGATTATTATGTACGTGATATACAAACTCTTTCGTATATTGTATATGGTACAAACGTATCAGTTAGACTTGCTGGTGAACCATTTTCTCCAACAACACTTCGACATATTGGTGCTCTTCGTTTAGCATATACAACATTGAAAGAAAAGGATCAAATGAAATCATTAAAAATGCCTGGTACAAATTTAACAAGTGAACAAACATTTTTTCTTGCTTATGCTCAAACACAATGTTATAAACGCGAAGACTTAATTCAATTTGTAGCAACACAATTAGGTATTTATGATGAAAGAACGGCATTAAATGCTGCACTTATCCATATGCCAGAGTTTTCAGAAGCATTTCAATGTAAAGAAAAAGTTAATAAATGTTTTTGATTTTATTAATGAACGAATAAATAAATAAAATGAGCATGTTTTTGTACTAAAAAACATAATTAAAATTTTACCTTCGTTTCTTTTTTTTTTCTTTCTTTGAAGTTAATATCGATGAATTTTTTATTATGCTGATGAATGAAATACCCCACCGATCAGTTTTATTAAACAACGAGATCGTCGTGAGGATATGTCGTTCATGAGCAGATGGAAAAGATCAAATGTGTTCAAATGTCTTTTTATGTTTAAATTGTCTAATCGATTAGAGACAAAACGATGTAAAAAAAATCGCCATTTAGTCTTGTCGTCATATGTAAAACAAAAAAGAAAAAGAAGAAAAAAAAGAGAATGGAAAATGGTATGATGTGGGTGTCAGATGGACAAATCATTTCATTAATACAACAGAGAAATTATCATTTTCTCGTTTGAATAACAAACACACTTGTCACCATTATATCGAACATTGTTTTATTCGAAGAGTATAATCAATTAACAAACTCTGTTACTCTTTTATGGAATAAATTGAAATAAAAAGTTCGCAAAAGATGAATATAAATGAATTCTACAAGTTGACAAATTTTTAACTATTCAAAATTTATGTTTAATCTAACTGATAGAATATATAGAGCAAAGCTGATCGTTTGCAATGAGTATTTCTTCATTTTTTTATCATACAAATTGATTTTATATGAGCTAAACGATACTTTTTAAAACTGAAAAGAAAAGTAAACATGTTGTCAAATAAACTTTGACAATAGATTTGAACGGTTTTCTTTTATGATAGTTATAAAAAAAACTTTCCAATGAAGTAGAGGTCTTTATTCAAATAGTTTTATGTTTGTATTCAGAAATGTGAGATATATAGTTTTCAATAGGATGTATCATTATTGTTAGTTTACAGCATATTTGAAGAATTTATTTCTTTGTTTAGATCGTTTTCGAAATAATGAATTCAATTGGTTAGACTATTAGATTAAGTAGTCAGATTTCAATTTACAATGTCAGACTTTATGTTAATTTTTATTCTTCAGTATTTTTTTTTTCTATTTTGAAGCGTAAAGAAATCCGTTCTTGTTAAATATCCTATGCAAGTTGTATGTTTCTAATTTGATGAGAAAAATATTCATACTATTGGAAATACAATAGTATTGATTACCAGTATCTTGTCTATCGATTGATTATCTATATATAATAGTAATAACACGAATCTATAGAATTATTTTGTACATCTCAAACAGATTTTCGAGTCTTAAGTTTAAAATAATAGAACTAATGATATATTATTCTGACAATATGTGTCTGTTCTTTTATTAGTTTCGATATATCAATTCATGTCGAATAAAAATAATTTTATATCATTAGTCTTAAGTCGCTTGCTGATGATGTTTTCTTTCTAATTAACAATACCGATAGATCTGATTAGATACATTTATTTTTAGATTATTTCATGAAATCTGTTAAAAAATCAATACANAAATTTTTAACTATTCAAAATTTATGTTTAATCTAACTGATAGAATATATAGAGCAAAGCTGATCGTTTGCAATGAGTATTTCTTCATTTTTTTATCATACAAATTGATTTTATATGAGCTAAACGATACTTTTTAAAACTGAAAAGAAAAGTAAACATGTTGTCGAATAAACTTTGACAATAGATTTGAACGGTTTTCTTTTATGATAGTTATAAAAAAAAACTTTCTAATGAAGTAGAGGTCTTTATTCAAATAGTTTTATGTTTGTATTCAGAAATGTGAGATACATAGTTTTCAATAGGATGTATCATTATTGTTAATTTACAGCATGTTTGAAGAATTTCTTTCTTTGTTTAGATCGTTTTCAAAATAATGAATTCAATTGGTTAGACTATTAGATTAAGTAGTCAGATTTCAATTTACAATGTCAGACTTTATGTTAATTTTTATTCTTCAATATTTTTTTTTCTATTTTGAAGCGTAAAGAAATCTGTTCTTGTTAAATATCCTATGCAAGTTGTATGTTTCTAATTTGATGAGAAAAATATTCATACTATTGGAAATACAATAGTATTGATTACCAGTATCTTGCATATCGATTGATTATCTATATATAATAGTAATAGCACGAATCTATAGAATTATTTTGTACATCCCAAATAGATTTCCGAGTCTTAAGTTTAAAATAATAGAACTAATGATATATTATTCTGACAATATGTGTCTGTTCTTTTATTAGTTTCGATATATCAATTCATGTCGAATAAAAATAATTTTATATCATTAGTCTTAAGTCGCTTGCTAATGATGTTTTCTTTCTAATTAACAATACCAATAGATCTGATTAGATACATTTATTTTTAGATTATTTCATGAAATCTGTTAAAAAATCAATACATATACAAATAATAAGATTTGCTTATTTTCATGCGCCTCAATGTACAAAATCAGAACATATTATTATTTTTGTTTTAAATAATATGTCTTTTGCGTTATACAAATTTTCTTTCTTTAAAAATACTGTTGACACAATCTCTCCGGGATTGAAATATGAAATACAACATAGTTTCTTTTGCTAATCACAAGGGAATTGTTCTATTCTATCTATTTTGCAACACATTTTTTAATCATCGCTTTACTTAATCGTCCAGAAATACCATAAGCAAATAGTTCATATATTATAATGAGACGTTATTCATATACAGGTGTATAGTCATATGTTAACAACATCTGTCAGGGTCTTTAATGAGTAGTTGCTAACGAGGGAACTTCGTAAGACGTCCACTTCTGATTTCAGTGACTTTTCTCCTAAAGATACTACGCAGAACTCTGAAAAGTTTTAAGCTTCTATTGAGATTTGACTAAACTATCGAGTTCTAAAATTATGTCTGTTTTCTAGAGACCCCAGATTTTCGGAAAGTTCGTATGTTAGAATTTTGATCTGAAACTTTGTGCATATAGAGAACTCAGCTAGACTAGCTTTCATTAAAAAAATTTACAAGTTTTGAACAAAGTCTCTTCGGGATATGAAGCTGTCGAAAGATGCATGTTGTATACAATATCCATGGAAAAGGTTCAATATCTTGAAAGTTTCTTATCTCAAAGAGACTTTGTTCCAAACTTTTGATCGTTTATATGGAAACTGGTTTAGTTGAGTTTTCTATATGTACAACATTTCAGATCAAAATTCTAAAATTCAAGTTTTCTGAAAAACTTGTGATCTCTAAGAAAATAGACATATTAAAAACTCGATAGCTCAGTCGAATCTCAATTGAAACTCAAACCTCTTTACAATTCTATGTAAAATCTATTGGCAAAAACCTATTGAAATCAGAAGGAGACATCTACGGATGTTTACTCATAAGATGTGTGTGAGGATAGCGGGCGTCCAAATTTCTACTTCTATAATACACAACTTCTTTTATATCATATTTTACAAAATGATGCAATTGACTTTAGATTTTGATTTTGTGTTTGCTTATGCTGTTCGCATGACTTCGTCAACGTACTGGCTGTGTACTCAGAGAATGTTTTTATTATAAACAGAAACACAACTAAAACCCGTCTCACATCAACAATAATCATAAGAAATCTTAAATCTTGATCTGTAAAAATTTTTATTTTTTTTAATTATATATGTATATCAATCGGTAAAATCCAAGAACTTTCTCTTCATGATTCAGATTTTTTTTTGATAGATACATATTCAGCAAATAAATATGAGTGCAAAAGAAAATCGACGAACTTGATGATTAATATTGACTAATTTTTTTTCTTTTATTTCTTCGTATACTAAATACCGAAAGAAAGACAATGTAAAACGATAAAAAAAATTACATAAAAAAGTAATAATTATTCTACGAATTGACATACAAGATTAGATTGTTTAGTAATTTCGATTAGCTTCAAATAATGATTGACCATCAACCGTGCCATTAGCACCACCTTTATATTCACCTTTGGCAGCAGCACCATGAGCCTAAAAAATTCAAAACATTAGAATCATAAGAAAAAAAATCTACAATATCCATTTTTTTACTTGAGCGCGTTTAAGAAGTTGACTTTGTGCAGCTAGAATATTTTCAGATTTACCAGCCCATGCAGCAAGAACACTAGCTTGGAGTGCTCGTCCATAACTAAATGTTAATGTCCATGGTTTTTTGCCAGGATATTGATTAATAGCATTTAAATTAATTGATGCTTCTTCTTCGGATTGACCACCTCGAAAGAAGAAAAAAACAGCGATATTTACATGACATATTTCCTCGCTAATTAACATAAATCATACCAGACAAAAAGCAAATGCCTGGCACAGCAGGTGGAATTGTTCGTTGTAATGCCGTTACTGTTGCTCGAGCAGTATCTTCTGGTTTATATTTTCTCTTACAATCAAAACCTATATTCAATAGAATTTCTCTTTTTTTTTTTGTTTTAAATTAAAACAAGTTAGTTTAACAAACCTGCAGTAACCATATTTGGTTTAAGAAGTATTCCTTCTAAGAAAACATGATATTCACTAAGTGCTTTATATGTTGCGGCTAAGACTTTTTCAGTAACATGTTGGCATGTCTCCAAATCATGATCACCTTCTGATAATACCTAGAATCAATCTATTCAAAAACAATTTATTCAAAAACAAAAATAATCTTACTTCTGGTTCCACAATTGGAACAATACCATTCTATAATTAAAACAAAAAGAATTTCTTTTTTACTTTCTCAATTATTTTTATTTTTACGAGGGAACAAATTTAAATATCGTTCCCTCTAAAAGCGAGATGAGACCTTACGTATCTTGTAGAGAATCTTTCATTGATCACATATATCAATATCTTATCTGTCATCAATCCAACGTACAATGTAATTCTCCTTTGTGGCGGGTAGTTTGATAAAATATCAAGTGTCTCAGAATTAATTACAAAATATAACGTTCTGTAGAGAACTCTTTTCTCACCGTTCTTGTTAAAAAGTTTTTCGATTAAGTTGAAAAATACTATTTGAAATGGGATTACAGATACGTAAGATGGTG